GCTCTCTCCTGGGACTGCAGGGCCCTGCCCTGTCCAGCCTGCTGCCCTGAATGGGAGCCCACACACACTGTCTTGCCTGGCTGTCATGCCTATTGTCCAGGCATATTATTATTAGTGTCCCTTAAGTTCTCCATCTAGCCAGGCATGGTAGCATACGTCTGTAATCCCAGCAGCTCAAGGATCACAAGTTCAAAGCCAGCCTCAGCAAAAGCAAGGTGCTAAGCAATTCAGTGAGACTCTGTCTCTAAATAAAATACAAAATAGGGCTGGAGATGTGTCTCAGTGGTCAAGTGCCCCTGTGTTCAATCCCTGGCACACCCCAGCAAAAAAATCTAAATAATATCTAAACCATGCCCCTTAACTCAGGAGTAGCCTCCCATGACCAGTATCCCAGAAGTAGGGACCTCGGGGAGCAACGCTCCCTTGAGCTCTTATTTCCCTTCACCCATTTCCACCAGGAATGTTTGACTATTTGTGCTTCACAGATGTGAGAAATGAGGCGTAGTGGAGGAACACAACTTGCCAAGGTTACACGGAAAGTGAAGGAACTGGGATTTCTAAGTCTCTCTAGCTCCAACTCTTTTCTCCTCTCCTCCCATATCCTCACCCCCTGCCCTCCCTCCCTCTCTTTCTCATTTTTAGTGTGTGAAAAACCTTGATGTTTCCTCTGTAATGAAAATCTAGATCAGGGATTCCTAACTTTTATACTGTTTATATTTGGGGCCAATTAATAGTTGTGGGGGGCTGCCGTGGGCATTGTGGAAAGCTCCACAACACCCCTGATATCTACGAGATATCATCTTACTAGATGTCGGTAGCAGCTCCCCTGAGAACAACCAAGAAAGTCTCCCCTCATTTCCTAATGTCCTCTGGAACATCTGGGGATCGCTGATCTAGAACATGCCATTGTGTCCAACCTCAAGGCATATGTCCATGGCTGGCCAAGAGGCGGAGCTAGAATGAAAAGCTACATGTAGAATCTTCCAGACACTGATAGGTCATCTTCCCCACCCCAAGTTTATCTCCTCTCTCTTACTAGAGGCTGATAGGAGAGTCCAGAGTGAGAACTAGGATCAGCCAAGTGAGTCCCTCATCTCAGACACAAAATTTAAGGAGGCACTAAAAAAAAAAAAATTCAGTATGCAGGATAAATAGTATTTTAACACAGTCTTTCTTTAAAGTCAAAATTAATGCAAAACATCCTTGAGGAACAAAATATCAAAATTCTAACCAACCAAGCCCAGCCAAATTCCCAGCAGTCCAAAGAAAATTCAGCAAATGCTGAGCCCTGGTGGCCAGATTGCTCTGCCAAGACTGTGGAGTGGAGGGGGGCACTCAACTCGAGGCCTCCTGCTGGACAGTGCACATTTGTTGCCCATATTCCAGCCCAGGCCTCCAAGGCAGCAGGGACAAGTAGCCCTGAGGGCCAGGAGGCCTGGATCCCTTCCCCTCCTCTGCTCTCCCAAGGGAACTACAAATGGAAAAGTAACCGAGAGGTTATTTGTGGGCCTGGTTGCAAAGTAACTGCCTTGGCTCTTATCTCCCTGGCCCAACGAACCAGACCTGCTTATCTACCTGATTGTGGGAGGATTGGCCAATGCCAGGGCCCAAGAGCCTGGTCAAGGGATTTCAAACTTGAGACCTCCCTCCATATTCACCCTCACTCCCTCACCCCAGAACCCAGGCCAGGGCTCCATTCTACCTGTGGCCGGATGACCTGTTATCTGGGCTCTCTCAGGAGGCAGCACCTCCATCATTTTAGAGATGAGGAAACTGCATCTCAGAGAGCCCAAGAGCACAGAGCAAGTTGGAGACCAGCCTAAACCCATCTTCAGGCTCCTTACCCACCCACAACTGCCTTCCTCCAGCCTCCTCCCATACACCTCCCTCCTCTTCAAGCCCATTCCCTGCCTCCAGTTGACTCGTTTTTTTTGTTTTTGTTTTGCACACAAACCTCAGGCAAAGCCATTCTAATGACTTCACCAACCTCATCAATGACCACAGTGGTGATGCCTGTCTGAGTTAAAACCAGAAATGACTTTTTTTTATTTTTTGTACTTGGGATGGAACCCGGGGCACTCCACCACTGAGCTACATCCCCAGTCCTTTTTATATTTTGAGACAGGGTCTTACAGAGTTTCCCAGGATGGCCTTGAACTTGGGATCTTTCTGCCTCAGCCTCTTGAGGTGCTTGGAGTACAGGCATGTGCCACCATGCCTGGCTCAAAAATGACATTTTTGAAGGTCCACCCCAAACTAGATCCTACAACATAATCTTTAAAAAAATCATTCTACAAATTGGGTATTGTCATCTCTACATATTTACTACAAAATCAGGAGAGGTTAAATTACTTACCCAAGTTTCACAAACTAGTAACAAGTGGTACGCAGGACCCTAGTCTGTCTGGCTTCCTAGACCTTGTTTGATAGACCCAAACGTGCTACACCGTCTGGCCAGTGGTGCCAACGTTTTCAATGTACTTGGAACACCAAGTCTTTAGATGACCGTCGGCAGCGATGTTTACAGATTTAGTCTAACCCCACACTACACAAAGGCTGGGTCTCATCATCTTTAAAGTTACATGGTCCAGCTACTCAGGAGGCTGAGGCAGGAGGATCACAACAAGTTCAAGCCTGGGTAACTTAGTGAGATCTTGTCTCAAAATTTTAAAAAATGAAAAAGGACTGGAGTGGAAGCTCAACAGCAGAGTGCTTGCCTAACCTGTGTGGGGATCTGGGTTCAATCCCCAGTACCAAAACAAAAAAAAAAAACAAAAAACAAAAACCCTAGGCACATGGTGTGGTGTACAGCAAAATCACAAGGCCCAGAGTCAGCCCTCTGTTCCTCAGTTTTCTCATCTGTAAGGATAATAATAGGACCTTCCTCTAATGACATCATCTGGTTGTGGAGTTGGGGGTGGCTCTTGTCAGTCACCTTCTGAGATGAGGCACGCGGAGCTGCGGGCGGCCCCGTCAGTGAGTAAGCAGTGAGCGCTGCGTCCTTTGAGCTCTCTGCTGCTCTGCTCTTTGCACGTGTAAAGAACTACACACGTGCCATTCCCAAGGGGTGATCTTCGTTTCCCAGAGCTCAGTTAGCTTCTTGTCAGAAAGAATTGCACACGCACAGCAATTCTCCTTATTTCATGATCTTTACTTTAAAAAAAAAAATCTTTTTATGAACAAATAACATGCACCCCGCCCTGTGCACTGGAGAGTGGACGGCACAGGGAAGCTTCACAGTGGGCGCCACTGCATAACCACACCCAGAACAATAGACGGAACAGGATGAGGAGCCCTGAAGCCTCCCTCCTGCCTCCTTCTTGACATTATCCCCCAAAGGGAATCTCCCTGGACTGAGAGTCAACACACACCCAACCAAAGAGATATGTGAGGAAAAAGATAAAATCCACCTACCACCCCAATAGAACCTAGCACATCATAAGTGCCTAGCAAATGGGAGATTTTATTTAAGTGTGTGTGTGTGTGTGTGTGTGTGTGTGTGTGTGTGTGTGTTTTGCTGGGGATCCAATCCAGGCCCTCATATATGCCAAGTAAGTGCTTTACCACTGAGCTACCCCTGTGGCCCCTATTATTCTTTATTATATGAGGAAACAGTGCCCTTTCCACGTTAGAGTATAAAGTCCATGAAGGCAAGGAGTGAAAGGCCTTCAGCTACATTCCCACAGCATCCACCACAGGGCAGAGCCCAACGTACCTGTTTCACACGTTGCCATCTGTGAAACCAGCGCTGCCCTAGAGCAGTGTTTGCAGTGGACCTAAGTTTGAGTTCTGTCTCTTTCTCAACTGACTGAAAGACCCTGGACAAGCTCCTTCCCCTCTCTGAGCCACACTCAAAAACAATGAGTTCTTGTTGTGTATCCCTCTAAGACCCCTGTCCCGTGTTCTATGAATTTGTCCCAAGTTCTATGAATTTGAAGATTCCTAAAGGGAAAGGGCCTCAGGGCATTGACCCCTTTTACTCTGCTGGCCTCCCTAGTGGAGGAGGGGTTTAGAGTGCCTTTCTTCTGATGGAAGCTTCCTCATCTCCAGCTGGGTTGAGTCTTATGCCCCAAGAGAAACCCAGGAGTGAGGGAGAACAGCCAAAGCCTCCAGCCATGGGGTCATAATGGTTAAAGAAACAGACTTTAGAGCAGCTAGAGTCAGATCTGGGCATTGGATACACTCCGATGTTTAGTCTTGGGCAAGTCTTTTGACAAGTCATGACCTTTCTGAGTCTGCTTCTGCAAAGCGGAAATAAGAATGATTGATTGCACAAAGTCATTATGTAAAATACCTGCCACAGCTGGTGGTACTTTGTGGGTGCTCAAAAAGTGGTAGTAATGAGTAACATATTGAGCTTATATTATAAAAAACGACATGAGCTGGAGGTGATGGTGTATACCTGTATTCCCAGCTACTCAGGAGACTGAGGCAAGAGGATCACAAGTTCAAGGCCAACCTCAGCAAGTTATCAAGACGCTCCCCCATCTCCAATTACAAACAAAAAGGGCTGGGGCTCAATGGTAGAGCACCCCTAGGTTCAATCCCTCATATCAAGGGTGGGGGGAAATATATGTGGGTTCCCGAAAGACAAGAAACTGTGTCTTATATTCCCAGTCTTTATTTGGAATCTGATGCATAGCAGGTTGTCTTCTTCTGGATTTTCCCAGAAGCAGAGCTTGAGGCAAGGATTTGAATGTAAATACTATAGTAAATTTGGGAAGTGCAGAGATACTAGTAGGAAGCAGAAAATTCATCTGGGGGAAGAGCAGGCAGCCAGTACAAGGTGTGTTGTAAGGCCAGTCGCTTAATGGGTAACTGAGAAGTGGTGCCCAATACATGCCATGGATCTATTCCATTTAAGAGGCAAAGGACTGGGGTGCTTATGTACCCACTTCTGAGAGTTGTCTGCTGTTCCCAGGGACGTGTCAATTTCCAATCACATCAAACCAACTGCAGTTCTGGGGTTGGGAGGAATGAGTGAAAAAGGCCCTTGGACACAGAGATGCACATATAAGCCCACCGAAACCCTGGAAGTTCTGGAAGATGGAGCAGGGGTTCCTGGCAACACCTGCACATAGATGCCCAGTCACTGAATCTTCTGAGACCCACCAGAGCCCATTCAGCTGCCACTGGAAAGCCCCACAGACCCCAATTCCACTCTCCATCCTTGAGGAGCAATAACTTCTAAACCATTCTATGAAAGGTATAGAATGTGGGTCGGGATCATAAAGCAGAAAGTCCAAAGGTGAGGCTAAGCAGTGTGGACCGATGATCTCAGGAAAAAATGCACTTTTTTCAGCATAGCAATTTTATTGTAGGGAAGTGGCAGGAAAGGCAGCAGACAGGAAAGGGGAGGCAGCTGCCTGGGAGGGGGCCAATTCTAGCTCCTGGCTGGGACCACCTCAGTAGGAACAGAGGAAGGGAAGTCTTTTGGCACAGTGAGCTGTACGCCAGTTACCTCCTGAGCAGGCAAACAAGAAGGAGCCATCAGCCTCCTGCCTACCCCTTCCTCTTCCCCCAGGAAGACCCCCCCCCAACTCCTGCCACCAGCCCCAAGCCTCAGTGGAGGGGAAAGACCCAGGAGGCCTCTCCCTGGAGAGCGAGGCTCCTTCCCTAGAGCTGCCTCCTTGGGCGCCTCCCAGACCTCCCCATCATTCATCCCCAGCCCATCTCACCTCGGGTACACAGGGCCACACATCTGCCACCACAGGTGTTGGGCTGGCCGGCAGCCCAGTACGCAAAATTCCAAGAGCTGCCATCAGCCCAGAGGAACCTTCTACAACGGCCCTAGGGAAGGTAAAAGGAGAAGTGGTAGGCTGAGCAGGGGTAGAGGGAGGCAGAGAGACAACCAGTGCTGTCCTTGCTGGCTCTTCCTGCTGTCTGCAGGGCCATGGGCCCTTGACCATAGTGGACATTGTCCTGGTCAACTGCACCGTCATCGCATGCTGGGCATCCCAGTGACACAATCACCCTTAAGTTGCCCCCATCCTAGAGCTAAGAGGCCCACAATCTTGCCCAGTACGTGGAGATAGAGGCCAAGAGGAACCTGAGCCCAGACCTCCTGATTCTAAGTCCTCAGCTCTTCCCAATGCCTGGGCAGGCCATGGGTGCCTCGTCCAGACGCGCTTCCTTTCCCAGCCGTTCAGAGGCTCATAGAGCAGAAATGCAGACACATCCACAGCAAGTTGGGCCCTGGCTGGGGTCAGCAGGGGCTGGCACTCCTCTTACCCTGCCCACGATCCTGCCTCCGATCCAGACTTGACCCTGGTTGAGCACCCTGACGGAGCACTGGAGTTGGTAATTAAAGCTGAAGTTGTGGATGGAGACGAGGTTGCCCCGGTAGCACCTCTGACAGATAAACTACAAGACAGGGAAAAAGAGGGAGAATGCAGTGTCCTTCACACAGGAATCCCCATGGCCAGAGCCTTGGGTCTCTGAGTCTCCAAAATGTATGCTCTACTGCCCCACCACGACTATTTCAAAGATTGGTGAACAAAAGACAACATGGAAAAAAAGGCGGGGGGGATTTCAAATATATTGATACCAAAATAAAGTCGTGTACAAAATGCATCAAGTTTGCACATATCCCCCCATCTGACCCCAGCACCTCCGGAGGCCTCAGCCTCACTCACCTGAGCCTTATTAAACTGTTTGGCCCTCCTCACCAGGAGGTAGCGACACGTCTTGCATCCGGGGCTGCCTTCCAGTTTGACTGTGTCTTCTTCCTTAGGGCACTGAAGGTCCTTGTCCACCACATCCAGGGCTGAGTCTGACTCCATAGGCTCCTCTTCCTCAGGATCATCTTCGCTTCCAGAGCCTCCTTCCACCTCCTCCTCCAGCCGCATCAGCTCCCCAGCAGGGGCCTCCTCAGGCTCTGGTTCTAGTATCTCCCCCTCCTGAGGCAAGGCTTCATCTTCCAAGGGGCTGTTGAAGTCGGGAGTTTCTGTCCCTGGCAGGGAGAAAGACCAAGTGTCCATCCTTCACCTCGTCCCCTGGTTCTGGAACCATGGACAGCTCCTGCCCTGCCCCCGTGCCAGCCATTGTCCTCTCAACTCTGCCTGGAAAGAGAAATCTGCAACCGCGCCTCTGGGAGGAGAACTCAGCCTCCCCCTTGAGGTCAAGGTGGTTAAGAGCAAGGGCTTAGAGTCAGGCCCTCTAGGTTCGATTCCTGGCTCCATTTACTACTGGCGTTATTTCTTTGTGAAATTGATAAGCAATGCTACATACCTCGTGGAGATGCTCTAAGGAGTCAAGGAGACAATGCATACAACACTCTCAGTAAGCTCCAAGTAAAAGCATTATGTAGACTGCACAAAATAGGGACAGTCACAGTAGATCCGAGACTATAGTCATAAGAGATGCCTGAACAGAGATTCTACATTTGGGCATGATCAGGGAAGGGAGAGAGTACTTGCTTCAGACTCATCTACCATAGAACAAAACAAAATAGAGAAAGGAAGACTGAAGGCCAAGACTTACTCAGATGAAGAGTAGAAACGGCCCCAACCAGAAGAGTCAGGAATAGAGGGAGTTTCATCCTGGCTTTGTCCTGCAATGGAGAAACAAGTTTGTCATTGACACGCGCATAGGAGCCAGACGATTAGGGAACCTTGGGAGGGAGGTGGAGAAAAAGAAGTCAAGAACAGAAGCCAAGATGGACCAGAGAAGCGAGTGCTGAGGGAGCCCAGGCTGGCTGCTCCAGGACACTGGGAACCTCTCTGAAAAAAACACAGCAGACCACGAGGGACGGCTGGGGCTGGCTTCCCAGTGAGCCCAGAGGTGGAGAGAATATTATGTTTATTTATTTGTATTTAATGGATCCCCTCGGAGTCTACAACCCAGAAAGGATGGAGAAGCAATGGGCCTTGGCTTTCCTGGGAAACCACAGTATTTAGAAAATGTGTCCCCTCCCGGGAGCTCAGATGCCACACATGCCTCTCAGGTCATCACCCTCAGCCTCCCCCAAGCCAAAGAGAGAAGTCCCATCCCTGCTGGCACCCATGTCACCTGAAGGCCACTAGCAGTCCCTGACAGCCCTCCAGAAGCCCTCAGCCTGAGCTGGGCACCTCTCAGGAGGTGGAACTGTCATGAGCCTTAGCGCCACCGGAAAGGAGAAGAGCACTCACCTGCCCTGAGTCTTCCCTCCCTCTGCTACACAGTGGCATTTTATAGAAGACCTTGAGGAAGTTCCCTGGGGAAGGAGGGTTTGCTTCAGCCAGAGGGAGATGAGAGGACTGATTAAAAGACATTTCTCACTTCCTGGGGAGCCCACTCGTTAGCTGCCAGGGTCTCTCCCCAAGTCCCTTTCAGGCATGTGGGGGCCCTTATGGCTCGGCTCTGGGATGAGAGTGTCCACCCTGGACTGCTCTTCAGAATCTCCTAAGGAGATTTTCTAAAATCCACAGTTTTCTTGCTTTCCTGGTGGAGGATGCAAATTCCCACAGACATTTGGGGAATGCGGCTTTCAGTATCTATTAGAAATAAAAATGCACATTTGGTCATTTGATCCAGTTCCCTCTTTGGAGATGGTCTTTTAGACATAAAAGCATCTGTAAGTAAGAAAAATTGTACACAGTTATGTATGGCTTGACTGAAGAATCACAAACAACCTGGATATCCATCAATGGGACAGAGAATAAAATGTGTCCCATCTATTCTAGAGAATGCCATGGGGCTATTAGAAGCACTGGACTTATATCTGTCCACCTGACAAGATGTGGCTACTGTGTTAGTAAGTGAAAGCAAGATGCAAGAAAAGCATTTAGGATGGCAATACATTACAAAGAAAAAGCCCTCTGCAGGTGCTTATATGTAAGTTTCTTTTATATGGTCACTAGAAGAGCTGGAATGCTAAAAAGGATTCACACCAGCCTGCTGACCTTGCTGGCCTCCACAGGAGAGAGTGGAGAGGGAGATTGTTCTTTTCCTTCTTTTTATAACTTTGCATTTCTTCAGTGGTTATGATCAATGTGTGCTAAATCTATAATACTGGGAGAGGCTTTATTAAAGATTTAAAAACTATACAAACCCTTCACTGGAAAATTCTGGCTGGCTAGTAGGTCCAGAAGGGAGGGCAGATGTCTTGCATTTTTGAGAAGTTTCCAGCTGACTCGGATGGGAAATCAGTCTGGGAATCACTGCCCTGAGGATATCTAAGCACACAAAGTGTCCCTTTGTGTGCTTAACCACTTTGCATCAGAACCTGACCATCCAGCTGACCAATTCACTGATCCTTATGCTGGTAATATTTACTGCACGTTTTTAAATGCTGTGCATGGCAAGTATTGTCTCATTTCAACTTTAAAGAATTTTCCAGGTAAGGCTTGTGACTCCTGACCCAGCCCCAGCCCCCCGCCCCCCACTGCCCACACTGGATCAATTTCCTCTGTGTTCTTTTTGGAGAGCCACGGATTTGTCCTTATTGCAGTTAGACATTTTTAGCTCTGTGTGTGTGTGTGTGTGTGTGTGTGTGTGTGTGTGTGTGTGTGTGTGTTTATCTGGTCTGTGGGTCAACATCTACCCTCTTCCCTTGACAAAAAAGCTCTGTGATGACAGGAGGCCACATCTCTTTACTCAATTGTATCATTGGTGTTGGGTGTCACAGTGCCTGGCACATAGTAGGTTCTTAATAAATATGAATGAAAATGGTTAAGTAAATAGTCCGAGTAAATAGCAGGGTTAAAATCCAGTTTTCTCTGGCCCCCAACTTCTCTCTCTCCCTGTGTGCCTGCTGTGTGCAAGCAGAGACAAAACCAGAGTGAGGCGTAATCTGTGCCCTTGATTTGCTTATAGACTGAATGGGAAGATGAGATGCATAACAGGTAAAGTGAGAGGGAAGGGGTCGGATCCAAGCTAGGCTCACCCTCTGCCAATTCAGGAGGAAGTTCATCCACAGCAGAATGGCAGAAAGGGCTCCCTGGAGATAAGGGCCTGGCTCTTGTCCAGATGGAAAGGTGGTAAATAGAAGGGAAGGAAATGGAGTCATCCCAGGCAGAGGGAGCATCATGAGCACAGGTGAGCAGGTGGGATGACCCTCGGCAGAGGTGCAGGGCAGTGTTACTACCTTCCAACTGAAGTTAGCAGAATATTTCAAAGGGATTGAACAAGCAGGATAAGAATGCATCCTGTCTGGAACTAAGAATGGAGATATCCTTCTTCCTCTCCACTGATTTAAACAGACAGGAGCAGGAATCGAGGGGATACTAGACAACAGACTAGGGAGGAGCAACGAGCTGGGCTCTGCTCACCGGTCCCCAGGCATTCCCTATAGGAATGATTTGCATGTTGGACAAACCATTTAGAAAATGACAAGCTGGTTCTTGGGAGCCAGTTGGCTCCTGAGGCACCCCTATCCTTGAAGGAAATCTGTCTTCTATGTCACACACCCTCCAGGATCTGAAGTCCACAGTTTAGTGACCCTGAGATTTCATCTCTCCATGTCCAGTGGGTTGAGATGAAGGCTCAGGAATCAGGCAGCCCAAGTCACAGTCAGCCTGGAGTCTACCACGTAATAGCTGTGCAACCGAGGCTGAGTTCCTGAACCTCCTTGTCCCTCATTATCATCATTCCTTCTGGCTGTCACCCACAGCCAGAAGGAATGAATGAGATAATGCATATATAATAGCAGACATAGTGTGAGCTGCCCAGCCACCTCTTCCCTTCCTGTGGTGTTCAAAGGGACTCCTTGCCACGGATCTTGGTCAGGGGTGGCATGTGATTATTGAAGACAAAAGTCAAGTCGATTCCCAGCCTCCTTTGTAGCTAAGGCATAGACGAGGCTGTATTGGATGTAAATATCCATTTAAAACTCTGAACCTGGAGCTAGGGACAGAACAAATGGGAACCAGGAAGACCTCTCTCTGGCAGTGGCTAGGGAGGACAAGGTCAGGTTTCCAGGCTGCAGTGCCCCCAGAGCTGGAGGATGGATCCAGGATTCTTTATGAACTTTACTTCTTTGCAATAGACTTGTTTTCCTGCTCAGCTCAGCCAGGAAGTATTTCTATGGACTGCCACTAAGAACCTTGATGGACGCAGCATTCAGCATCCAATTTTGTAATTGGCATTTAGTTATTGCTCAATAAGTAAATGCTGCCCATATGATTAAGCTCAGAAGTGATCAGGTTGACACACATTAATAAAGCTCTCCAGAGACCAATGTCTACATCAGGTGCCAATGGCATAATTTAGGCTGAGCTCTACCCACAGGGGCCCTTGAATCAGCATGTCCTCTCTCTATATCACAAGCTACAGTGTGAGTAATAGATATGGATTTTGAAGGAAAGCAAAGGACTGGAGAGCTTGGGGCCCAGTGCCTTTGAACAAGGGGGACTAATGCCCTTCACCTGTGCTTGTAGGCTCACCCCCTTTCCCAGGAGGGTTGGACCCATGTTGCAGATCCTGAGCCTTGGACTCTGAGTTACTACAGAATTTAGATGTCCCTAAACAGACTCTGTCGCCCACCCATCTTGACACCTGCACTCTCCTGGAGGACCTGACAGATTGCTTCTGCATTTAATGTTCCCCATTCTCACCCTTAGGGGCTCTTCTCAGCTTTAGACTTATGGGAAGGTTTGCTGTAGCCCCTGGTGCAGCCTGAACAGAGCAGACCAAGCACTGAAGGCTCCACCCTGCTACAGTGTGGGCTTCTGCATGAGGTGTGGTACCAGGCATTGAACAGAGGTTACTTTGGCAGCAGTGAACAGTGCCAAGAAACTCTTGCTTACTTCCCTCCCATCAACCCCCAATGAGTAGCAGCTCAGAGGTAGAAAACTCTGCAGCTCCAGACCTGCACCATTCAGCCCTCACTCTATCTCACCCCTCCCTACACCCTGCTCCAGATTTCTCAGCCTGGAAACTATGAATAAGGCTTAAAGGGGCTCCGCTCACCGGTCCCCAGGCTTTCCCTATAGGAATCAGATCCTGCAATCAGAGGCAACATATGGTGATGTTCCCAGGGTGAGGATCCCAACTTCCCACGAGATTCTTTTATGATCTCCCAAAAGGCTAAGGAATCTCTAACTTTACTGGTTGATTCCCCACCCCACCCCCGAAGAGTTAGGAATGACCTCAAAAGTCCTTGTAATAGGCAGAATCCTATTAATGTCCTCTTAGCCTAACCCCCCACCTCCTGGGGTACACAAACTGCATAATCCATAAATGTGGTTCTACTTATATGGCTATATTATGTGACGTGATACCATTGACCTTAAGAAAGGAGAGGGTTGTGGGCGGAGCTCCGTGTTAGAGTGTGTGCCTAGAGTGCATAGGCCAGGGTTTGATCCCTAGCTCCAAAAAGGAGGTAGTGGAGGAGAAAGAGGAGAAGGAGGAGGAGGAGATATCCTAAGTGAGCCTGACCTAATCAATTGAACCCTTAAAAGGGACTGGGCTCTTCCTGAAGTCAGAGTTTTCAAGCAAGAAGGATAGACCCCATTTCTGGATTTGAAAATGGAGGAGACCAGGGGCAAGGAATGGATATCTTTGAGGACCTGAGAGAGTGTCCTGCTGGCAGCCAGCAAAGAAGCAGGGACCTGAATCCTACAAACCCTAAGAAAAGTAGTTCTGCTACCACTAAATGAGGACCCTGAACTCTAGATGAGAATACAGCCCAGCAACACCTTGGTTTTAGCCTGGCGAGATGCTGAACTGGAAACCCAGCCATGTCATACCCACATTTCCGACCTACAGAGCAGTGAGTTAATAAATGTATGTGGTTTACAGTTGCTAAGTGTGTT